CTATACAAAGTGAAGCTTGATGAGAACCTGGCTGGACAGGATCCGTAGCAACCCAGGACATCTACATGGGGATACAAAGCACAGCACCAGTTTGTGGTGGGGGCTGCTTTGATGTCCTACAGCTGAGCACACAGGGGCCCCTAATCAAACTCAGGGCCTGGGCTTATCCCACACAGGCCCTCGGCCAAAGAAGTCAACTGTGACTGGGCCAGTGCAGCCTGGCTGCCACCCCTGCTGTGAGTGGACTAATAAGGTATCTGTCTTTTAGTGACTGGACCTTCTACTTAGCATAATGTCCCCAGGCTCATCCATGTTGTTCCATGTGACAGAACTCCCTTCCTTTTTAATGCTTAGTAACATTCTACCCTGTCTTGATTACTGTAAATTGGAAAGTATGAGTCCTCTAGGTTTTTTCTTTTCTAAGAATGTTTGGGTCCCGGGGCTACCTTATAATTGCCCCTGCTCCGGGAGCTGCGGGAGCTGCAGGGGCTCAGCTCCCAGTTGAGCAGGACAGGGATGCTCAAGCCTTGACCTTCTTTCTGGATCCCATCAGTGGAGGTCAGAGCCCTCGTGATGGGAGGTGTTCCCACACTGTGTGCTCCCTTTCACGGGCTGCCCATATGAGCTCAAGGGGCCAGGGTTTTGAGTGTGGACTGACAGCTCAGGGCCCAAACTCCTGGCAGACTATGATCCAAGAGATTGTAAGTGATACAGAAAGCTAAAATTAGGGCCTTGGAGGCTGTTGGGATAAATGATCTTTCCTATCTAAGTGGACGGTGTGCTGGTCAGCAGGAGGCCTGCCCTGGGGAGCCAGGGGCCCCTAGGTGCAGCAAATCTTGGGCAGGGAGGTTGGGTTCAAGGAGTAATCAAGAGTCCTCAGGGAAGACTTAGCCTTTGGCCACTGTGCCCCAGGCAGGGAGCTCTCAGAAGCCCTAACAGAGGGGCAAGGAGTCATGGGAGAAGCTGGCACTGAGGAAATGGGCCTGACTAGAGGGGACTAACCATTAGCTCAAGATGGTACATGGTGTGCTGGGCACTGCCTGGCTCCTCATCTGTCCTCTCATTATTACAATAATGATACTTTCATATCACCCCCATTCTCATTCAGCAGAGAAAGCCAGCTCTGGGCCTCTGAGAGTTCCCACGCAGAGCTAGGATCTGAACCCAGGTGAGATGAGCTTCAGAGCCCACATTCTTTCTCCTCCTACCAAAAAGCTCCATTGCCAGCAGCTAAGCAAGTGGTATATGCCCTGAAGGCAGTTTCTTTGCAAGGCCTGGGGCAGACTGAGTCTAACCTGGGGGGGTCTGTGAAAGACCCAAGGTTTAGGAGTTAACCACACATCAGCTGCACAGCTGCTCCTGGGTTCTACTTGTTGGGCCCCCTCTGAAGACACAGACATTGGACACTCCAGTCTGTCACTGAGCCTCGAGAAGGGAACAGGAAAATGCCACTGCCAAGCCTACAGGTGGGATTTTAGGAAGAAACACACTGCTGTCAAGTACACAGTGGGAAGTGTTTGTTACCAAACAGCTGTTTGGAAAGTGGTAAATGCTTGCCAGTTAACAGTGCCACATTAGTCAGTGAAAACACAGAATTGTGTCCCCCAGATATGTGGCTGAGCTGCTACCAGCAGAACTGACACCCCACGCCAGGACAGAACAGTGCCCAGCCCCCAGGACGGCAGGAAAGTCTTAACTCAGGCTCTCAATGCAGCTAGGGGTTAAGTTGACATTCAAGTTGGTGCTCAGCAAAGGTCTCTGGAAAGACTGAAGCAAACACTGGAGCCAGTGCGAGCCACCAAAGGGCACAGCCAGGGTCTAGGGTGTGCTCAGCAGCCTGGAGACCATCTACGGCATGCCTGGCACCGGCACAGAGCTGTGTCATGGAAGCAAGGCTGTGGGGAGAAAGGAAGAGTCTTAAGGGTCTATCTTAGCATCAAGACCAGCGCTCCATCTCTAAAATCCAAAAATGCAACCCAGGAACACAGCTAACCAAGGAGCCAGCAGAAAATGAGTGTGACAGCCGTGGCAAGTTGTTTGGAAATAGTGGTTATCAATCGTATAGACAGCCCAAGGCAACTTCTACCCCATTGACCATTACAGTGACCAAAATGACGTGGGGGGATATTCATTGAAAGGGCAAAATGGCAAACCATGAGTGTGGGCACTCGTAGCAGCGTGTGTGGGATACTGGTACAAAGGGGAAGTCAGTCCTGTGTGACCCTGAGCCTAGGTTCCCAGATGTGCAGAGGAGGGGACATGGTGTCCACCTCTGGGACCAGAAGCACCTGATGCCCCGACAGCACAGTGGTGCATGGACACAGGAACTGAGAGGAAACATGGGCTGAGCAGCCCAAATCCAAATATCCGAAATCCATATTGCTCCAAAAATCTGAAACTTTTTGAGCACTGACATGACGGATTTGTAATTTTTGGCTTGGGAATGCTTGCTTGGTAAGTATAATGCAAATAATCCAACAGAAAAAACAAAGTCCAGGCTCAGAGCCCATAGTTCAGTGGTTAGGGCACCAGGCACATACATGGGGGCTGGTGGGTTTAAAGATGGCCTGGGCCTGCTAAGCAACAATGACAACTGAAATGAAAAAAAAAAATAGCCGGGCATTGTGGTAGATACCTGTAGTCTCAGCTACTTGGTAGTCTGAGGCAAGAGAATCACTTAAGCCCAAGAGCTGGAGGTTGCTGTGAGCTGTGATGCCACAGCACTCTACCAAGGGAAACAAATTAAACTCTGTCTCAAAAATAAATAAATAAATAAATAAATAAAAAGAAAAAAATTCCAAATCTGAAACACTTCTGGTCCCAAGCATTTCATATAAAGGGTACTCAACCTGTACCAGACACGAGATAGTTTTGTTCTAGGGTGGCAGAACTGTGGTTATCCCTCTCACAACTTTGCTTTAATTTTGACATTATTACTGTTTTCTACTTTTAAGAAATGATCAAGAGAGGGGACAGGCTGTAAGAACAGCATTCTGTGCCTGCACTGGCTCCTTCAAGCTCAAAAGAAAGCCATTTAGTGGAGGAGCAGAAGCTGGGTGGCTAGGGCCAGCATAGCGATGTGATTCTCCTCCCCCAGTCCTGCACCTTCCCCTTCCACCTCCCTTTCAAGGTGCTGACCTCTAACAAACATTTTGCACTCCAAATTCTTCTTAGGACATGCTCCTGGAGGACGCCCTACAAAAGTGTGGGGGAAAGGGCCTAAGCTTTGGAGCTCTGCACTGGGAAGCAACAGGTGCTGGTCAGAGCTGACTGTGCTGGAGGGGGACTGCATGGCTATTCGGGAAGTGTCTGAACACCCACAGTAGGGAAGGACAGGACACTGTTACTAGGACTCCCCCTCCCCCTGCAACTGAGACATGTGAAGGCTCTTGCAGTGGACTCTGTGCTCTCAAAAGAAGGAAGGGGAAAAGCTCCCAAGGCAATGGTGGGCCTGAGGTGATAGGTATGTGTCAGCTGTTGCCCCACAGGCCTGAAGACTCTTTAGTAGTGAGGACATATGCTGGTAAGAGTTCATTAAAACCTAGGTCTGCCTGGGTGCACAGAGGTAAAGTCCACAGGCTGGGCACTGAGGGTGCCAGTTTATGGTGTGATGTCAGCAGCAGGAACAGACAGGGTCACCAGGGAAACCAGAGCTGGCCATCGTCTACCAGCACATACCTTACTTCAAACTAAAGACCAAGCCCTTGCTGAGATCTCTTCCCTCCCCAGGACTGCTCCACCCACTATATGTGCTCCAGGAAATCAACCAAGCCACCTGAGTGTGCCAGTCACTGCAGACACAGGCACTCACATTCTTGTGAAGTAACAACATACTGCACACAGCCAGTACTGAGCTAAGGACCACCTCTCATGCCCACTTCCCTTCCTGGTTTTTCAAACATTCTACAGAGAAGGTTGAGGAAGGGGGACCAGCAGAGAACCTCTGGGAGGGGGACCTGACTCTCATAGCCAGACCCCAATGGCTACCCCTGCTCACCCTGCCCCCAGTCCCCGGCACTCAGACACCAACGCTTACCCAGGATGGCTACTGTCCTGGGCTGCCTGTCCTGTCTGGGCACCCTCCCCTTCCTCCAGCCTGCTACCACCCCACCTCACCCCCTCCCCAAATCTCAGCATAAAAGGCATCTTCACAGAGCCATAGCAGTACCATCATACCTCTGGGCATCCTATTATTTTCTCTGTAGTTATTGATCATTATGAGACCTGCTTTGTTTGCTCATTTGTATGTTTTAAAATCTGCTCGCCCCTCCAAATGCAGCTCCATGGGGCAGGCACCACAACCAGCACACTGTGGCTCCAGTATCTAGGTGAGCAGAGTGACTCCACATTTGAGGCCCTACCCAGGGCATACTCTCTCCACAAGTCCTGAATGCCAGCAGAAAGGTGTGCCTGGGAAGCTCCTAGAAGCGCTTCAGCCTGGGGCACAGCTGTTAGGAATCGCTTTATCATCTGCTTTCCAAAAAGAGCTGGAGGAGTCTAGTCTGTCAGCACCCAATCCCCACGAAGCAGAGGCTGTGAAGTGGGTACTGGCAGCTGCACCAGAGACAAGAGCCCAGGGGAAGGGTATGGCAGGAGGCCTCTGCAAGATGCAGCCAGAGGCATGGGGGCTGGGATAAGCGAGGCTGGGAGAGAGAACGGGCAGTGTGCCCGCTGGGTGCTGAGACCATGGCTGACCTGCAGGGACAAGGAGCCCAATCATGGAATGTGAGTTGCCATATGGCCCTAACAGGGAAAAGCAGTCAAGCCTGGGGGGCCTGGAACTTCCCTCCACCCCTGGCTGCCACCCAGGCCCTGGCCCCCTCCCTGTACCAGGCCTTCCTCTTCTAGCTGTCCTCGCCACCCCTCCCATGAGCTGCTACCATGGAGCTCTATCTGTCTTGGCTCTGCCCACCAACCTTCAAAGATGCCTGCCTGCCTGCCTGCCTGCCATGGGAAGATCCAAGCCCTTTCCCTGGCTGCACGGTAGTGCTCCCACTCACCCGGTGGGTCTTGCTGTAGGTATAGAGGAAGGCCAGCCGGTAGAGACTCTTGTAGTGCTGCGGGAAGCGGCTCAGGCACAGGTGGAAGGAGGCGATGCACTGCTCAGTGAGGAACTGCCGCTGTTCCTCAGCGCCCGTTGGCAGGCCCTGGGGAAAGGCCACTGGCTCCCCCAGGGGGTCCCCTCTCTTCCTTCCATCCCAGAAGGCAGGTGCAGGTGCTGGGGGCTTGAGGGGGATGCAAGCAGTGGCTGGGGCATCTGCAGCAGGCTTCTGACCACCCTGCTCTGTAGCCCGGAAGCCTTCAGCACTCTCCAAGGACTCCTCAGATTTTCCTGCAGTTGAGAAGGAAAACACAGTCATCCTGGCCCTGCAGTCGTCCACCGCCAGGTGCTGTGGCAAGTTGACTAGAACAGCTGGATTGGTACCTCTGCTGGATGGTTGTCAGACAGCAGGAGGTGCAGAGCTCTGGGCCAGCTCTGCCCCCAGTGAGGCCTCCCACTCTGGGAAGCAGGATGACCCAGCTGGCATGCAGCACAGGGGCCCAGAGGCCAGAGTGAAGGTGATAAGATGGCTCTGGGTCTACCCCTCTGAATGGTAGCACAGGTGTACAGGGCTGGTGTACAGGGAAGTAGCCCACAAAGGACAGGTGTCATCACTACCCTATCATAAAAAAAAAAAAAAAACAGCCAGAAAGGGCTCACCAAGTACCCACCTGCCCCCACTCAGTGCCCCAGCCCACAGCCTGCCTGCTGTCCCTCTCCAGGGACGCTGCTGCTGGGCATGTGAGCTGTGTGCTCACATCCGGGCCCTCCTTCACACACCCGGCACCTGGACACCAGGGACCGTGGAGCTGGGCAGCACCAGAGAGCCCAGGCTGAGTGGCAGGCGCTGCTGGGCTGGCTCTAGGATGATGACAGCAGGCTGGGGGACCTCGAGCCAGGCTCTGAGGTACAGGTTCCTTGGCTGTCTGGCCTGGGAGAGAGGGAAGGGGTAAAGACCATGGTTTCTTAGGTGCCCAGTTTGGCACAACTTGCACAGCCTGCCTGAAGCAGGCCAGAGAAGTACTACCAGTGTTTTTTAATTTTTTTTTTTTTTATGTTTTTAGAGATAAAGTCTCTCTCTGTTGTCCAGGCTGCAGTGCAGTGGTGATCACAGTCAATGATAACCTTGAACTCTTGGGTTTAAGGATCTTCCCGTTTCAGCCTCCTGAGTAGCTATGATTATAAGTGTGCATCGTTATACCTGGCTCATTTTTCTATTTTTTTTTTTTTTTTAGAGATGGGGTCTCACTACGTTGCCCAGGCTGGTCTCCAACTCCTGGCCTCAAGGGATCTTCTCCTTAGCCTCCCAAAGTGCTGGGATTATAGCTGTGAATCATCACGCCTGCCACATCAACTCCCAGGGAAGTCTGCTAACCCTGCTTCCTGACTGCCCTCTCCCTATTGCAGGAGTGGCCTCAAAACAGCCAGAGCCTGCTAGGGCAAGGTCCAGTGAGCAAAGACTGAGGCCTCAAGCCCCCCCGACCCCAAGTCCAAGCCTAACCATCAGACATCAGGGTGTGAGGCAAGCTTGTCTACATTGCTTTAGCCACCTGCCATCAGTCTGGTGGGCTCTCCCTTGCTTGGCCACTCTCCCTTGGGGTTCCTGCCTTTCCACTATTGCTCTTTCCCTGGACCCAATGCCTTCTTTTTGTCAGGAACGCCAACAAGGCACATGGTGTTTGCGTGTGGCACATAGGCCCTGTCACTAGGCCTCTACTTGACCAGGAAGGGGACAAATGTGGCCACAGTCTGGCAGGCCTGCTGTCCACTGCATGGATCACACAGGTAGCTATCAACTCCAATTTAGGCTTCACCCTGCTGCCCTTGGAACTAGACAACAGAGCAGGCTTGTGTTTAAGTGGGGAACTATCGGCAACTTTTTACTCTGTCAAACAAAGTAAGTCTTTAGTGTTGTTACCTTCATATTGTAGACTTTTTTTTAAGCCCTGACCTCAGCAAAGGTGAGCTTCAGCTAATTGCAATAGTCTTCCTAGAAAAGCCTCCTTCTTTACGACACCTTAGTGCAGGCCAGTGTGGAGAAAGCCTCTGGAGAATCAAAGGGAGGAAGCCAGTCCTCAAAAAATATGTGAGCCACAGCCTGCTGGGCACTGTGAGAGAACCAGGTCTGTTCCTGCCTCCCCACAGCAGCCAGTGCCTGGAGCAGACCAGGACCTATTCTGTGCTGCTTGATAACAGACACACTGCATGTGCACAGCAGCAGGTTGGCAGCAGGACCACCTGTAAGGGTGTGCCTGAGTGCAATGGGTATGTCACACACATGGGGCCCACACTCAATGCTGGGTTGGGTGCTATAGCTCTGGCTTCTCTGAGGGAGGCTGAAAGTTGTCTGAGTCCTGGAGACTGTGGTGGCTGCTGCCCACTGGGAGCCCAGGGGAGAGTGTGTAGGAGGTCAGAGCCCACCACGGACCAGGCCAGCCTAAAGGAGCACCCTTCTCTGGACCCTGTCTGCTGGGCAAAGACTCGGGAGACATTTCCTGCTTTCTTTGTTTTCCCAACTATGTCTACTCTCCCGACGGGAAGTTCATCAACTTCACCACTGTGGTTACCAGGGAAAGTCAGGTTTAGAGGGGAACAAGATGCCCGTGGAAGCAAGAGGCCCCATTTCCAGCCTACCAGCTATGGTGGTGACCTTTGAACTTTATTCACCAACAGCCTACACATGGTCTTCTTAAACCACTGGCACTAATGGAAGGAGGGGAGAGGCAGAAGGCTTCCCTGCAAAGGCCTGCACAGACTGGGCCAGACTAAAGGCAACCTACTCTCTGTTCAGTCCCCCACCCAAACCCCCGGCTGCGGGAAGAGCAGAGAGGCCCATGACGAGTTAGCAGTACCCACAGCAGCTCACTTGGAAGACAGGCCTCCAAGTACAGATGGCAGTTCTCACCTGTCCAACAGTAAAAATCATCTTTTTTTTTTTTT